AAATAATAAGCAGAGAGAAAGAAAAACGCGGCTCCTCTCGTTAAGCCATGCATTTTCGGTCGCAGGTGTGCTTTCCAAACTTCGTGTCTCTTTCGTGTTTTTTTTTTTTTTTCAAATTTGCTTAACAAGTGTCTTTCAACTACTAAAGGGTTAATACTGTTAACTTCGTTAGTTTTCATTAAAAGTAGAGTTCCCAAAAATTCTTTGTGCACACCCATCTAAACCCTGTCGGCAAAACATCCTCTCTCTCACACACACACTACAGTGCAATATTTCGGCCAATGATATAGACACAACTTCTATTCACAAAACGCAAGCGTTATACCTCTGTGCACGTCTATACCTGGACAAAATCAAGATGAGAAAAATCGAGAGCAACGATACATGCGGATTTCCATCGTTTTAGAAATGGAACTGAGTCGGCCGGTGATTGAAAGCGAATTGATTCATAGCCTGCGAAGGCTTCGATCTGAATCGGAGCCAGACAATTAGAATTGGGGCTGATGTGGTTGGAGAAACAACAATCTTGTTTCTATAAGAGCAACGAATGTGTCTTCGATGGTTGAATCCATACGAAATCCAGAGAGAGAGAGGCTTGGTCGGTGTTGACGAAGATAAGAAGAAGTTGTCGGCGTGATGGGCTGTTTGTGGGTTTGGGCGAACCACAAGAATGGATGTGTCTTTGATGGAGGCAGATTGTTTGGAAACCATTTCCATCTCCTCCTAAACTACGTTAACATTTTATATTTTTATTACTTTTTGTCTTATTATCTCTATAAAAAAATTAATATAAAATGTTGACATAGCTTAATTGTAATGGTTAAGTCACATCAATATTTTATATTCTTATTATTTTTAGTCTTATTATCTCTATAAAAAAATTAATATAAAATGTTGACATAACTTAACTGTGACAGCACAAAATAGGATGGTATGGGAAGAGCACCCAAACAAGAGGGCAGACAATCTGCCTCTATCTTTGATAGTTGAACCCACCTCGCTGACGACTTCTCCTTTTGTTTTTTAATTTCCAATATAAAATAATAAATTTAAAAGTGTTAACTTTTTAATAAGTTGAAAGACACATGTCAAACAATTAGATAAGAGACGTAAGAGACAAAAACTTTAGGGACAACAGACCTGCGAACTACATTTTCTTATCATGAAAAGTTTTTATTTAGAACCCCACCTATTATTAAGTAGTAATTTTCTTTTCTACAAGGCATTTATGTCGATCGGAAAACTGAACTTGATTCTAGTTTTCTAAGAATCAAATTCTTATAGTGGGTCAGAAAATTTGAGTTCAATGTGAGTAATTCAAACTTATGTGTTCAATATATAAGTTTGTGGCCACTTAATACTATGGTATAAGAATATTTTTCTTTACTTGTATGTGAAATCGTCTAGGCATTGCCCATGACTTTTAGATGGTCCAACAGCTTATAAAGTAATGCCATACACCCTCATCTACCAAACATAGGCATCTCTCCAAACTTAGTAAATTAATCTTACATAAATAAAATACAATATTCTCACTTCATCATGTCCGTTCGCCTGTCATCCTTTGGCCATAAATCTTTTGAAATTTTATATTTAAAATTGAACACAAATAGTGATGAAAACTGGCTGCACGATGTACGATGAACGAACATGATGAAGTGATCTCCAGGATCCTCACAAAGAGAATCCAGAGAGGATCCTTCACCCCCCCCCACCCGACCCCAGCTCGGAACTTATAATTATATTTGGACAATAAATAAAGTAAAACATGAGTATTATTTGGAATTATTTTTAAAATGTCCGAACGCATTTTTATAAAAATATTTTTGGAATCAACTTTTAATAAAAATGCAAGTGAATCTTAGAAAAGCTCTTAAAGTGTTTCTTAGAAGAAGCACATAACTGGTGCTCCTTACAATAAGCACTTTAAGTGCTTTTGGAACTCAAAAATATTTTTTCTAAAAGCACTTCTTCATTTATTTTAAAAGCACTTCCAAAAGGTCTGTAACGTGGTAAACCCTCAAACCTCATCCTTCAATTACAAAATAATATGTATCACGTAGATATGATAGTTATGAACCTTTTCTTCCAAATCTTATATTTTCATTGCCATGTCTAGTGCTTACATACAATCTTAGCAATTATTAAATAATGAAGCTAGTTTTAGATTTTAAGAAAAAATTGTAGCAATGATCCCTCAACTTGAACCCAATTGGAGTTATAGTCTCTCAACTAAAAATTCATAACCTTTAATCTCTTAACTCATTAAAATGTGAAGATTTAATAGTTGCTATGTGCGTGCAGATTTAATGATCCCTCGATTCAGCTACATGTGCGTGGGACGTGACTCACTTTGACGAAAATTCTAACGGAGTTGAAGAAAATAACCATAGCTGCATGTTTTGAGGAGTTAATGGACCAACAGTTACTGATTTTTAGTTGAACGACCATTATTCTAATTAGGTTAAAGTTAAGAGACCATTGCTACATTTTTCTCGTATTTTAAATGCTGTAATAATATTTTATTTTGAAAAAAAAATATCATTACAGCAAGGATACTATTTGAATATAATTCACAAAATATTGTCATACATTCATAGTATAATCTTTTGCTCTATCCTGGAGTCGCATAAGAACAAGAAGTCTTTAATTAATTAATTGAAACATTGAAGATATATATGTTGGGTTAAGATCCTCTCCGGATCTTAATTGTCCGAATCATGTGGATCAACCAGCTGCCGAAGATCCATTTGTTTGACGTGAATTAAGACTTGGACATCGACTTTGCTCGAAGCTTCTCCATCTTGCGACAGTACTAGACGACGCCCTTCGCCGGAGAAGCAGCCGGGCATCTCCGAGAGACGTCGTCGACCCAATTTGCAGTGTGGCCCTGAGGTTCCGTAGTGAAGGGTTGCTGCTTATTGTTGATTCCTGGACGCACAATCTTCTTTTGGACGGCCATGATTGTTTAACCCACAGAATCCGAATGGTTAAAATCCGAAGAGTATCTTAACCCATATATTTATATTTGTTTTCATATATTGGAAAGTCGTACAATTAAATAAACCTCTACATTCAGAACTAGTAGATCAAGCTATGGATTTAAGAAATGAAACTTTAACGAAAACTTCAAGTACTGTTTATTTTAACTAAAAATCATATTTTTATACTAAAAATTTATAGTACAGTTCACTTTATTTTGTTTTTACCATTAAAACTTAAAGTTTTCAAATCATTTTCATTAGTTTTCTTTTATAAGAGGAAATAGATCATCTTTGGGTCCTTTCCACCTAATCTTCCTCATTAAACAATTCAGGTTCTTAAAATTTGATCCAACAGCTGAAAACACGGGTCCGTTTTAAAAGTTATAATAATTTTAGCTATTTGATCAAATTTAAAGAACCTGAATTATTTGATAAAGAGGATTAGTTAGAAGAGATTTAGAGAGGATTCCTTTTCATGGATTTACAACAATGTTGGCCAAACATTTTAAAGAAAATCAATAAAAATAATTTGAAAATTTTGAGTTTTAACGAAAATGATAAAATAAAAAATTCTGATTTCTTAATATAAAAATATATATTTTTTTCGTTAAAATTCTCAACATTTTAATGTTGTTAAAAGAAGAAGTATTTTGTCGGTCCAATGTGGTTGTCGGTCCAATGCAGTTCCTGACCACGTGGCAGCGAGTGAGGAAAGGCATTCCATAATAGAAAATTTTCCCTTTTATAAATAGAAAAAAAATAAAAATTTTAACGAAAAACTTCTAATACTGTTTACTTTAACGAAAAATTACATTTTTATATTAAAAAATTAATTTTAGTACTATTTATTTTATCATTTATTTTATCGGTTAAAAACTCAAAAATTTCTAAATTATTTTCATAAACTTTTCTAAAAATAAACATTAAAATGTCGCTTTTGTCGTATGACGTCGAATATCTTGCCTAAGATTCACTTGCGCATCCGACCAACCACGCGTCCATATCATAAAGCACCAAATTTATCTCTTTCACTCGCACAGAGCTCTCGTCGTTCCCCTTCCCTTCGAATTGTTGCCGTGCGCGAGGAGGCGTTGGTGGGAGAGTGCGACTCACGCGGCATGTGTGGCGTACAAACTTTCAGCGTTACTGTTTTCCAACCGAATTTTGATGTTCTGCGGCAAATGAAAGGCGACCACGTATTTGATATCTCGAACCTCCCCAAAAGGCAACATTACTACGCTAACCCCGAGCTCTGCCCCACGTGTACGTCTCCTTTCGGCAGTGTGTGACACATAACGCTCTGTGATTGGGTAAGACAGTTGGACAATGAATTCGAGTGGGCCCCACTGGGGAAAAGATTTAACCAATGAGATCCCGCGCGTCGTTGTTTTGGAGCTGTGACTAGGAGAACTTTTCTAATATGTCAGAAACACGTTACGATACATTAAGTTTTATAATACAATAGTTAAATTGTTTCAGCGTTTTGGGTTCTGGGGGTTGCTTATTTCAAATCAGCAAGATAAAGAAAGAATATTATAACCCCATTTTTATTAATACCAGCTTTTTGTGGTACCATTCGTACTTGTCGAATTGTGCATGTAGTAATTAATTAGTTGAAAGCAATATCAATGTTGTTGAATGTCGATCTTTGGCCCGTTTGTCTAATAATTTGACCTGATATTAGAGCCAAAGAGTGAGCCTTACTGCCAAATGATGGGTGGATCTCCTTGGCTCTGCCTGATAATGGTGGGTCCATGTGGCCACATGTGTTGAGTGTGTCCTCTTACTCCACGTGGCTGCTGAGTGTGAATTTTTCACGTGTGATATGCTAATTGGATCTCACATGAGGAGCTTCTTGAATATCCTATATCGACAAAAAAATATATTTAAATTTGTTAACTTTAATTAATATTAATGTCTTTTGAGATAACCACACATGTTTGATTATTTAAAATGTTAATTAACAAGTTATAGACAATATAAATATTATCGCAGTTGATCTTACGCATGTCTCTCTAATAATTTGAAATGCGTTCTAACCAATTTATATTAAGACATTTCATGTCTGAAGCATTAAAAAATCTCTCCTGGTGCAGGTGGGGGAAGTGCACTGTTTGTTCACGCGCGCTTCCTCTCACGCTTCACGGTTAGTACTTCTGGCCGCCTCCTGTACTAATAGAATCATCACCTGCTTGAGCTACCACTCCGACGAGAGGGAGAAAGAAAGCAAGAGGGAGAAAGATGGTGTAAAGCCGGTTGATATGGAAGGCGGAGAAGGGCGGCGCATGCTAAGATGCGCTGGGGGTGAGCAGGATAAGCATGCAATCATGAACCGGAACATGCTCAGATTCCGGCCGATTGCACCGAAACCGGTGGCCAACGGTGCCGGAGAGGTTGGTAACAAAAACTCGGGTTTGAGTGTTTTGACAAGTGCAAGAAGAAAGAGAAAGTACGTTAGGATTTCCAAGAATAATGTATGTAGGGCGAAGAATAAGGATCCTAAGCGCGTGGTGACGACGCTGCAGCTCTTGCCGGAGAAGAACGATATAGAGAGCTCGTCGGACAGTGGATCCGGGCGTCCTTTAGATCCTACGGTGACGGAAAGTAATAACGATAGAAATAATCAAAATAGTTATCCTGCTGGAAAAGAAGATGAGGGCTTACGCCTAGGAATTCCCATGTGGTTGAGGAATTACATGGGTGGTGGAGGAGGATCAGATCCGACGGTGGGTATGCGGCAGATGGTGGCGATGCAGTCTTGGGTGACGGTGGAGTGCGTGACAGGCACATGCATGAATGCGCACGGTACGTTTGGAAGTGTTAGGACTAGGGACGTGGAGGGGATGAGGAGTGATCTGGAGAGGGACACGTGTCCGGGGCTTATATCGGACGGTCAGAACAGGGTGCAGTGGCTGAACGAGGCTTTTAAGAAGATGGTGAGCCAGCAGAAGTGCGCGGCGGAGATAGCGGTGTGGTTGGTGGTGAAAGAGAAGCTGCCGTACGCGGACGCTTTAGCGTTAACGTGCCAAGTAAAGCTGCAGTACGCGGTGGGTAAGGAGAGGTGCTCTCGAATTGTGCCCTGTGATTTGTGGAGAATGGACGGTGGAGGATTTGCATGGAGGCTCGACGTCAAGGCTGCTCTAACTCTAGGCCGTTGATTTGAAGCCGTTTAAAATTTATATGGATTATCAGTAGATGGAATGGAAGGCTGAAGATCTCAGGTATACACATTTGCATTTGTTTGTATATCTATACATGTATATTATATACATTTGAGTGAGTTTGGTGCAGTCTGTCTTAATTAAGTTCACAAGTAAGATAAACACGGATTAATGGAAAAAATTTATTAATATTTGTGGTGTTGGTAGACAAAGTTAGCTAACAATTTAACTCTAATTTTCGTATCAATATTATACAACATTTTACTAATAAGTCAGTAGAGAGTCCGTAGACAATCCCACTTTTGAGAAACATTGCTCTTTGTACAATTATCTGCTTTTTTAATACAATATTGTTACATTTGTGATCATCCAGTGCCCTAATTATTCAGATTAACAAAAACTAATATTTAAACACCAGGTTAATTAAACTCCATGTCTCTTATACATTTCTTGTTTTAGTTAATTTTAATTTCCTATTCATTCCGTCCTGTCTAGTAATGCAACTTTTAGTCACAGTCATCTACATCTAACCCTTTAAATTAATTGGATCCATCTATAAATAACCATCTGGCTGGTTGTCTTAGATATATATTCTTAGCCAGGAACATGATGTTTATACCAAAAACAGATTAAAAAACAGATTTATATACCAATAGGAGGGAAAACGAAGCGATTAACAAAATACACACACACACACACACACACTTATATATATATATATATATATCTGAAAATAACATCTCTAATTAATCATGGGAAATTCAATTAGTATAAATTGAACTTTTGAACCCTAGCTAGATGTATGATTTATTGTCAATACTTGAAAAAATAGTTTTATATATGCACATATATAAGAGGAATAACTCCTGTTCCTAGTTTTGCATTTAACAGAAGTAATAAGAAACTATTGTTGCATAATAAACCTAATTGGGAAGAGTACATATACTGTTATACAAATAAGAGACTGACATGAAAAGGGGCATAAAAAATGTGGTTGTGACATACGCGTATCTATGTAATTTAAATTATTCTATTCTTTTTTCTGATACATGCATCGACAATTTAAGGATCTCGTTTCCAATAAGTTATTCTTTACATAAAAATTGTATTAGATGGTGAGTATACTATCATTTGTTTTTTTTTTTTTTCACTCTTTTTCTTTTTCTTTTATTTTATTTTATTTGGGGGATTGGCTGGGTGTTATAAAAATAGAATTTCCCCATTCAAGATCAAATCCCCATTCGTTTGCTGATGGGAAATGAAGAACTTACGTTGGTGTCGTTAAACTAACCCCAGTTACTATGATCTTTGAGGGACTTTTTTGGGTGCTCTAGAGTATCCGAATTTCTTCAGGTGTTTTAACCGTTAAATTTTACAATTAAAATATTCGAAATACTGGGTACTTTGGAACACTCAATTTTTTTTTTGTTCTTTTGGTCTGATAAGTACTTAACTTATGAAGAGAGTTATAGTGTTGCATGTGATTACCAAAAAAAGAAGGGTAACAACTACATTGCAATATTATTACCCATCTGAATTTCCCTTCTTCCGCTTGTTGTTTTATCTGATAATTAACTTCAGTCTTTTCATTCATCACTTTATATTACATGCGTGCATGCCCTGTTCAGGTGAAATAATTGGTTCAGGTGAAATAATTGGTTCAAAAGAAAAAAGGCCGAAATATATGGATTAGTGGAACCAGCAGGAAGGAAAAACATATATAATATAAATGTTAAAATATTTTTACGTATACTGTATACTTGATGTGATCTCAATTATACAGTTTTAAAAGTGCCAAAAGTTTGAGAAAAAGACATCATATCAGCTAAAACTGTAGCTTATATTCGGATATTTGTCTTACGAAATTGTTTAAGATAGATAGAGTGGACTACCAACAATATATCTACTTAATTAACATAATTAGCAGACATATATGTATATATATATAGACAAACTTTGAAAGTAAGGAGATGGAAGCGAAACTGCTCGAATGAAAGGCTCTAGCGAGGAGGGAAGCGAAGCTGCTCGATGACAATGGATCGAAAGAGAGTAGACGACCGACTCGTGTAAGTCACTACAGAAAAATAGACTTTTTGAAGAAATGACAATAAGAAAGAGCGCTTGCACTTGAAGAATATTGAATATAAAAATCATATCTTCTGCATTATTCTTTTAACTCTAAATTAAACGACAATAGAGAACTCACCATAAAAGGCTAATTGTACATCCTCGAATCTCCTAGCTATCCAACCATATGTAGATATAGACTATTTTCTTCTTCCTTCTGTTTGTTTTATTATATATTTAACTATCCACTGGAAATAGCTAGACATTGTTTTCGTTTCTTGTTATATAATTATTATTATTGTTATTATTATGTAACAGGGTTTAGCTATCCACTGGCATATAATAGTTAATAATGTTTAAATTTTGTTGCTAAACGATAATTAAGTACATTCATTATTGTAACAGGCTTTGATCTTTTCTGAGGAGGTAGCTGGCTTCTCTGGATCTCCGAAGAAGAGTTGAACAGTAGTCTTGAAAGTGTACATACTAGTAAGCTCGAAGCAACCGCGATGAAATCATATATATATATATATATATATAGAGAAGTGGAGTACGCACTCTTGATTTAGCAGCAAAGCAGCTGCTGATGAAATCCTCAAAGGTTTGAGTACGTACATGTAGAGGAGAGACTGTACTTATTAATGCAGTAATGCATGAAGCTAGCAAGCTATGAAAAAACCCGCTGGTATGTTTATATATATTTTTCATATGCAGTAATGCACACCTTCATATCATCAGAGTGATAGCTGTCCAATAATATATATATTGCCTGTCGATCTGTCTCTGAAGTTTCAATTATTTTCTTAATTAATTTTTCAATTTTTGGTGGATAAGTAGTTTCCTCATCAGCATGCACTAATTAAATGAAAAATTTATAAAATACACACTGATTTGAAACGAAGGGGACAATGCAATCTGCTTAGCTAGATAAACAAACAAAACATGAATATACAGTCTGCTTAAGGGATAATTATTATTATTATTTTTAGGTTTTAGTTTTTACTTTTTGTGCTTGGGATATGGAGAAAGTATATAGGAAAATGGATGAATGAAGAAGGTTGGTGGGAGGGAGATTGAAGAACAACTAAAGAAGAATGAATGAAAACAAAATTTTGAATGTGAAAACAACTTAAAATAATTTTGTGCGTAAATTTTCTTATACATGTCTTCAACATCTATCATTCATGCATCCTTCCTTCATTTTTCTCCCACTTAGTTTTTCAAAATCTCAAACACAAAGGTTAAAAACTAAAAGCTAATTAAATACTAGTTAAAAACAAAATGATTACAAAAAAAAAAGTCACTAATATCTCCAAATAACAAAAGGATAATACTTGTATTTCCCCTTTAGGGAATAAGTTCATTACCCTACTTGCAAATAACTTCTCTTCAGTGTAGAAATTTTATTGGAACTGTCAATATTTTAAATTTGAAGATCATCTTTACAAAAAATCATTCGAATCAGTGATTGTTTAATTGTCCAAATGTATCAAACAATTCAAAGTTGTAGGTACCAAGTAGCATATTCATGATAAACCATTGAGTTATTTGATTCATTTGGATGACTAAACGATCACCGATCCAAATGATTTTTAGTAGGGATGATCTTCAAAGAAAGATTAAGAGATTGAATGTACCAATTATAAAAAGTTTACAGTGAAAATACATTATTTGCAAGTGAGAAAATGAGCTCATTCCCAAAAGAGAACGCAAGAATTATCCACAGAAAAATATGCCCCATTTTTTCTTCCTTTATTCTTTCTTGCTTGATATTTTTAGTGATCATCACTTCTCAATATTTTCTCCATTCCTTCACATACATCACCCTCCATAACTGACCATCAAGGCTGCATGCAGCCATTGGCTTTCTTCCTTCAGAATCACATCATAATTAAACTTGAAGGCCATTCATTTACCAAAACTTCTTGCATATATGTTGCTCCAAACATTCTTCTCGACTTGTGCTCCAATCTTCTGAATGTGTGTGTTCTTAAAACTATATATTATCCATAATTTAAGTACTTTGAGAAGGTGTAATAATTACGAAAGATACAGCGGCTAATTAAACCCTTAACATGTATTACAGAACTTTTAAATGCACCTAATTACTATGTTCAGTTTTTCCATAATTTTGGCCCGTCGATGGAGCTTGCATTTTCACCGTATGAAGTTTCTCATTCTCTTGAAACTCTTTCTGATCATTCAAGCTAGGAGATTGCCTGATGTGTCAACTCTCCTTTTGCGTCTCTCTCACTCTCTTGATCGAACATTAACTACTATTTCTTTTTATTCACTTAGGGTGGTGCTATTTACACTCATTTTTACCTTCCACGAACCCCTTGTTAGTTTAACTAATCCTTTGATCTTTGTTTCATTCGTCCCAACCGCCAGAAATTAAAAGGCGTGTGTGAGTGGTAAAGGGGGTGTATGGATAGCACCACCATTCACTTAATTAGTGAAGTGTTTTGTTTAGTTGTTAGGATTGGATTGGATCAAATAATTCATTATATTCAATTCAAGGTTTGTAAAAGGAAGAAATGAAAAAATAAATCAATTGTGTTTAGCTTGAAGATAGAATATGGACTACTCATTATAGAACTTATATGTTCAATTCCCTTGAAATAGATTGAAAGCGATAAGTTATTCACCTTCATTCTAATCTCATTCGAAGTCCCTTAAAATATACGTCGTTGTGTACTTTACATATTGTAAATTATCCATTCTAATCCAATCCTAAACATCAAGCTGATGCCTTAAGCGTTTTGGGGAACCTTGCTAATTAATTGATTTCTTCAATTATTCTCCTTTCGAAGGAGGGAATATATATATTCGAACAATTAACAATACAAAGAAAACATGAGAATATGCGACGATTAAATTAGTCAACTTAATATTTAATCGGAGGAATATCTTCACTGCGTAAATTAATTAAGTGAGGCCACCAAAGCTCTGGTAATTAGAAAAATATACAGATTCCTCCAAAAGCTGTATGATCTATAAAACCTTGACACATGATCTATAAAGTGTATTCAGATACCTCATAAAAAATCTAACCTATAGAACTACGGCGCGAGGATAATGCGTTTGGTTGCTGAGAATAATATTTAGAAAGAGAAATGCACTTACTTTTCTTATGTTTGGTCCATCGAACTTGAGTTTCAAGTAACATAATTAACCATTTATTTATCTAATACATTCTTTGATTATGATTATATAATTTGTATTAAAAAAGGCTTCCACAGCCACCGACCCTAGCCTTTGACTATAGGGTCGGTGGCAGCCTCCAGATTTTTGTGATTTATTCTTCTCTTCCTCCCTATTTCTTCATCTATGCTTCCTTCTGAGCTTGTCGCAGTTGTCTGAGCCTTAATTTGTCTCAGCCATTTGAGCCTTGGTCTCAGCTTTCCTACCTCTCCCTCGCTCCCACTCATCTTTTACAACCTATAATCATAAATTAGATCTCGGATTGTTGGGCTTTATCTTGACACCAGACCCAACACTCACAATCCACTGTCGAACTGATTTGCCGAAAAAATTGAACGAAGTGTGGAACAATTAACGTCGGAACAAGGATGTTTTACACACCCCTTTGCCCTCCCCCCTCCTGTTACGTTTTGTGACCTCCCTCGCTTGTGTGGCTATGGATGTTGTGGTTCTTGGTGGATTGATTCTGCACAACAATCACAAATCTAATTTTTGGTTCGGGCGCTCTTTTCAGTTAGGGACGATGTCTTCCTTCGCGGAGCAAGCCTCGGTTACAAATTACAACCCTCGCAAATTCCTGACGCAGGGCTTGGGGCCTCATACATATACATCACCATGTATCCTGTCACTTGTCATGCCATATGTTGAGGTAGAACTGCCAAGACTACAATCAAATTCATTCAAAAGAACTCGCAATCTCGTCTATTTTAGTGAAAAAAAACAATTACGATACATTAATAGTCATGGACAACCACAAACGAAGTACTGAATCCGCGAAACTAAGAAAGACTTTTACCACAGATCCCGCTTTTCGCTGTTGATGGAGTAAACAACACTGAATCAACTCTTTTAGCACGAGAGTAAAATAGTCATACAATCCGAGATGAAATAAGCAGCATTCGACCTTCCACAGATACTAGCGTCTTGCCCTTTCCGGGGAAGAGAAAATTTAACCAGACCAGAGACAAGAGAGGGGTTTCCCTTCTTGGCATGTTTTTACACAATCGAGTACCATCTTTTGCAACTGTTCCTCAACTTCCTCCATGGATGAACAAGCATCTATGATCTGCATCAAGCCAAAACAAATTTAACCTCGGCATAGTATCCACGTAATTCAACTCACCTAAGAATGGTATAATTCGAGAATAACAGTTGCAAACCAAACAATTTAGCAGTGTCGCAGGGTTAGTTGTTTTTGAACAGCTAATGCGATGAGCCTCCTTACTATACAAAAAATTACCAACTTGCAGCATCACTCCAAGATAAACTGTGTACTCAATAATCAGATAATGGTAGCCCAGCCAGCATCTATATAATATATTAGGAACAGATTTCACATCAGTGTTTGTTGGAAAACAAAAGAAAACTTGGGCATGAGAAAATGAAGTTGGAGGAATACGTTTGGCATCACAACCCCACCTATGCTCTTGGTGAGAGTGAAATCTTTTTCCATTTCCGTTCATTCTGTTCCTCTAAATACTTGTTTTAATGGACAACCGTTGATTCAATGTATTCTTTACAGTACAAAAATTAAAAGTTTGAGTAAAAAATTGCATATAGGATGATATGGTCAAGATAGCATCACAACCAGAAGCAAATATCCAAGGTTCTTTAGTGAACTACATGAATGAATCAACAAACTACCTTCCAAGTGGGACCGCGGAGGACCTGATAGTTCTGACCAACCTTCTTCTGAAACTCAAGCTGCTCGTATCTCTCACCTCCATAGCCTCCTCTTTCTGCAGCTTTCTGACAATTATAAATTCATACTTCATATCAACAAGGGGGAAAAATCACTGTGTCGATCTGATTTGCAGAGTAACCATCCAGGCTAATTTGTCAACATCATGCCAGGCTAAATGTAACTAACAGCTCTATTTTCCTCAACAATAAAAGTCAGCATAGAATGAGGACCCTAAGATATCAGTAGTTAGCCATGAAGGGCCAAAAATATACACCCATTATCTATTTTAAGAACCTATTGACTGCAAAATCAATTTGCATACCTAGGAAACTTCTTATGAGGGGCTGTTTGTGCATCTCGGAAGATATGTAAGACCACATAGGTAGCAAGGAATCACCTTAACCATGTTCAATATTAGATATGCAATCACACAGAAAATTAACCGACATACCAAAATCCAGAATTACAAAATATGGGCCAAATCTTCATGTTGTTCTTCCCTAGAATTCAGTGTGAAGATGAAAATGACTACATACCTCAGGTGGTATGTCAAGGTACACTACAAGATCTGGAGCCAATAACCCAATCTCCGGAGCCTGCAAAAGAAACCTCATCTTTTTAATATCCTTATGTACAGAATTTAAAGATCATCAGGGGTAAAACATAAAGCATTTCCCCACCTTACACCATTCAATATCAAGTCCTTTGGCAGATGAAAATGCCACCCCTGAATAGGAATAACGGTCAACGACAAGGGTGGTTCCACTTTTCAATTTGCTCTCCATCAATGATCTACAGGGAAATTATAGATTACTTAGAAAAATGATTTGACCATCTCATTCTTCACCCTAAGAGTGAACTTCAGCTAAAATTGAAGTGCACACACTCTTATAGTAATCAAAATAATTATTAAACAAACTAAAAAAGCCAACGACTATGTCATACAAAATGGGACATGGACTGTTCCTTCCCCTCTTAAACTATTCCTTCCACATTATGCATAACACCAACTAAGTTAAAAATAACAAGGAAAAACTTCTAACTTTACTAAAGTCTGCACAGTCGAAATAATACCCAACACATTTTGTAACCAAACATTGTTCTCATCTTGATCAATTTTAGCCAGGTTCCTGAGAAACCTAAATGCGAAATACACGAGGTCATTACAGATTTTATGTAAATGAGCACTGGGACCTAGAAAAACAGTGCATTTGGATGCCCATGAAGACTAGAAGAATCCTGTAAACGTATACAGAAACACTCAATAACTTGTTTCCTCACTATCAGCCATACAACTGAAGTAACTTTTGCTGCTTATGAGTTCATTGTGTATTTTACCGTTACATTGGTTTCTAAACTCATCAGAAACTAAACTCGAACAATGAAAGATTAGGTCATTAAACAAGATTGTCACACAACTCGGTAATCAAAAGAAAAAAAATATATATCTCACTGTGTATTGTCCTGGCATCAGTTAGAAACAAAAACAACAATCAGAAGAAGTGCAATATATAGGAAACCTCACAACAAAGAATAGCATAACCAACCTCGTCTCCCAACGGTTGGCACTAAAGAGTAGATGGATTGTATGATCATCCAGTTGTGATTCGTTGGAAAGATACGAAGATATCATTTTCCCAACACTTGTAGTTCTGTCAGGAAACCGCCACAACTCAGCTGAATACCCTACCCTCTCCAAGTTTTTGACTAGTCTAGTTGATTGTGTTGTCTTCCCACAACGATCCAAGCCTTCAAGAACAACCAAGGCACCTCTTGAATCCTCCTTGCCACCTCTTAGGCTACAGTTCTGATTATTACTCTCCATCCGAATCCGCCTGATAAAATCCTTGTGGGGAAAGTTTGAGTGAAAACCCAACGACCTTCGTACCGCCCTGGCTCCAAATTTCCTAGAGAAGCAAATGCAATCTGTTAGATAAAGCCCTCAACTTCAACCAATTTCGAACAATTTCTGAAATCTATCATCAACATCCATCCTAATCTACTCAAGTTCAAATTTTTCAAAAATGGGTATCAATTTCTAAACATGGCTAGCTGGGAAATGAACCAAAAACACAATAATTTGCAAGCTCAAATTCTTACAAAGCCTTGCAAACAGTAGGATAAGAAGCATGGATCATGTCCCTCTCAACCTACAAACTGGAGATTTAATATTAAAAAGGAAAACAATTCACCAAAATTTGTATGATAACTGTGAACAGAACGTGATCTTGGCTAAAGAAAGAAAAAGGAAAGATTACCTTGAACGATTTGCGCTTCTGGGTAATCAGACTGTCAAAGCAAATGTCAGACAGAAAAGAAAATAACAGTAAAGTAGGAACTTGGGGACCTGTGTGATTTCGCCGGCCAGTACGGTATCCGCCGGGTGGGGAAAGGCGGCAAGTGGGGTTGAGTCGGAGGAGAGTTGCGGCAAGAGGGCTTTGAGTAGGAGGAGAATGGCGGCAAGAGGGCTTTGAGTGGTGGTCTTGATAGAAAGGGTTTTGACTTTTAAAAGCTAACGATACTTTACTAATTTACTTTGGGCTCTTTTTGTGAATGAGAAATTTTTCTTTGTGTCGAGAACATGGTTCATTACACTAAGTTTTATAATATAATTAGGTTTATTCAATTATGTTATTATACTTGATATACCGTATCCATCTCATTCCCAAAATGCAACCATGTCCATCGATCATCTCTACAAAAATCATACATATCCGAAATAATTAAACTATTGTATTAAATGATAGCCTTAGTATTTATATGAAAAACCGTATTCGTTTATTTTTTCAATTAAATTGGATGTCTTAATAATTTTATATTTGTCCAATTTTTTACAAAAATAATTTATGAACAATATACTAAAATAAAAATAATTTAAATCGTTGAAGAAAATTACAAAAAGAGTAGGATAAAGTCTCTTTGAGATAAGCTTATTAAGTAACTGCATTTATCAAGCTCTGTAGTAAAAGATCAGCTAAGATCCAGTGTAGGGTCAGCAGAAAACGCATGAGACTCTATCTGGTTTCCCAACCTTGCAAATTCCTTTGCTGGCCATCCTAGCCTTTGCTCTGATCTGTAGACTCTGAGCAGAATTTGGTTGCCAGATTTATTTCCCTCCCTCCATGTCCCCTCCCCAAACGGCTTGCCATATTTCCATCGAGGCCTGTCCTTCATCTTGCTTCTGCAACAGAATCAAGGGTTGCTAGGTGGGACTTTGGTGGCGGCTGATTTATTGCTTTTTGTGTACATTTTGGTTTTTTGTATTTAATTTTAGGGCTTTTTGATGTAGCTACCTCATTTTTTAGATTCTTGGACTATACATCTGTTTCTTTTAAGAATATGATTGAACATTTTCCTAAAATTTTGGTGTCATGTGTATTTTAATCAGCCCATACATTGTACCTAAATTACTAGGCTTGCCATAGGGTTTCCAGTTTATATACCCCAAAAAATAAAGAGTTCCTACATTCTTGCTAACTGATATCTTAGAGTTTGAATCGAAGCAAAAGACTAACGGCTCAAGATAAGAAGAGTTGTTTGTTTTTTTTTTTCCAACGGCACATTCTTCCCATAGTTGAATGTAGCGCAAGTTTTAGATGTTGTACCATGGTCGACTTTGCTATTGAAGTTCCAGGTATTGCTTCTTTAGTTCAAATTATTAGTTGGTTGCGTTGGTTTTGATTGTCTTTTGAAGTCGAGTAGGTAGGTTTTAATTTTTACTGTAGACTGACATCCTCAATCATTTTTTTTTGGTACCACTGTTGAAGTTCAAATGAATTTTTTAATTTGTTTTCATGTATATATTGATTTTTGAGTCCTCTGATCGGTACGTTTGTTCTTGCTCAGTACTTTGTTTAAATTTTGCTTTATTTCAATTAAATGATTAGATTATAGTTGAAATGGAAGGATTGGTACGTTTTGATTCACTTTGTTAGTATTTAATATGGTAACAATTGGTACGTAGGTTTATCGAGGAGAGAAAACTAACATTTCTTTATAAGAAAATTAATAAAGATGATTTCAAAATTTTGAATTTTAACCAAAAATCATATACTAACTTTATTTAATGGTTAACTCTAAACCAATCCAAATAAAATAGTCAAAAATTAAGTTTCTAATTTTACCCCTGACAGCAACACAACACGTCGGGCTGGTTTGGTATTGTTGTGCTTTGAAAAAAAACTGCTGTGAGAATAAGCGGTTGTGCTGTGAGAATAAGCGGCTGTGAAATAAATCAGCAGAGTGTTTGATAAACTTTTTTGTAAAAGTGCTTTTGGAAAAGAAAAAAAACAGTCTGATAGTGGGTCTTTTCATTAAAGGAGCACTGTAACTCCGTGTGCTTTGAAAAAAGCCAGTTTTCCAAAGCTGCAAATAGCAGCTTCAGCTTTTTCCTTTGATTTCAGCTTATTCTCACAGCAGCTTCCAAAATAAGCTTTTTTTTTTCAGTTTACCAAACACCTAAAACCCTCACAGCTTTTTTTCATGGATACTTTTTTTTTAGCACCTCATTCCCAACTCATCCCGTGGTCTGTCCCTCCTTGTACCTCCGCTGGATTTCCTCCATTCATATAAAAAAGACAAAAGTTGATTTTTCCTACCTCTGTTGCATTTCCTCCATTCATATAAAAATGACAAAAGTTGATTGTTTTTTGTTATGTCCTTTAACGCTATTTTGACGTGTAATGATTATTTTGGTGTATGGAAATATTATTAATTAGCAAGTACAAATCATTAGGTACGTAAGGGAGAAGAAAATACTGGAGTCTTGTTCTGAGAGGTAGATTGTCTGCCCTTCTAGTTGTGGTGTCCATCCATGTCATTCTATCTGTACGGTCACGGTTAAGCCATGTTAATATTTTATATTTTCTTTATTTTTATCTTATTATCTCTAATATAAAATGTTGACGTGACTTAATCGTGACCGCATAAATAGAAGGGCATGGAAGGGCACCACAACTAAGAGGGCAGACAATCTGCCTCCCTTGTTATGTGTCATTAGTCAGTATAATGAAATTTTTGATAAATTTGGTCATTGTAAAAATATGCTGAGGCAATCGCTCCAAGTAAAAACATGCTCTGTAGTAGCTTACATAATGAACCCAAATCCAAAAAATAAAGGGGAGTTCTTCCAAAGAAATACAACTCTAACAAATCAAACAAACAAAAACCGATAGACATCACTAATTAATCAGCAAACAAGAAAATTGTTTCCCTACGAAAAAAGGACACATAAAAAAGGAGCAAATCTTAATCCCGTAAATAGAAAGAGAGACGAAATAGAGAATATGAGAGGAAGAGATGAAAGGGAATGGAAAGAGGAGGGGAGAGATTTTTAATACCGTAAAAAAAAATCTACACATTAGGAATTCAATAATTCATATTTAATTTAAAAAATATCAATAATGAAATGTAATTTAAATTCATCTGGACCGCACAAATTGAATTCAATAGTCCCCATTAACTTATTTTCCTGGCCCACCACACAAAACCAACAGCTCTGATTTCTTTTACACGCTAATCTGCAATCAAAATATTAGCTTTTAAAGGTAGATAATGTAGTAAAATACATTGACGCATCCGATTTAAAGTAACACTTTGGGATTCAGATTCATTCGACAAAGACAGATATGGTCATTTTCAATTTGCTAGCATTTAAAGCAACACCGGCAATTTGTAATAAAGTGATGTTATCCATATATTCATTTTTAATTTTTATATTTTTTTTAGTTTTTAGTTGTCCAAATAAATGAATTAAAGAAAATTACAAAAATTAACAAAAAATGTGTAAAAGATAGAAGATAGTGTGATGATAGCATCCCTTAGAGCAGGTCAATTCCCCTAAGACAATAATTGTCCCGTCAATTGGGCAAAGAGAATTATTACTTAGTACATAGTTTGTGCCCAAGTACATCTCCATCCAACATAAATTGCCTAGACAGTTAATATTAAAATTATTCCTAGAAAAATTAGTAAAAATACAATATTATTTTATATTGTTATATATTTCTACGTTGTCTATGAACTTCTCCATCTCCTCCCTCCTTTTTCTCCGTCAACCTTCAACTTAACACCAATTTAACAACGTTAACTTGAAAGAAAAAAAACCTAGAAACTTAAGAAAAACAACAGCATCCCCCAAACTATCCGACAACCATCTACCCTAACAAGTCCCACCCGTCGTCGCAAAGCACCTCATCGGCGGCGAAGGTTATCTCTTTGCCCTTTCTGTCTCTTCCTCTCTCTCCAAATCAGAGAAGTGGGAAGGCCAATAATTAGAATCATCTAACTCATATCTCCGCAGACATAACCGGCAACGTTGTTGCCAAAAACCTTATCTGATTGATCTAGCCCACCAACAAATTTATGGGTATTTTGGAACAATTTTTTCTTCTTCTAGGATTTGAGGATAGCCAGTTATTTTTTTTTCTTGGGTTTTTTGGGTTCTTTCTGGAATTTGGGGATTGCCACAATTCCTAAAAAACCATAGAAAACCCAAGATTTCAATTCATTAAAACGTATTGTGCTTTAATTTTTACATAATGTTTTTTATATTAATGATTCTAACCATGCGCAGAAAGTTTCGTGGATCAGCCACGAACCACTCGTTTTTACTAATAACCACAAGTAATTAATTAAGTGTCATATATCTCAGTGATAATTGAGTTTGAAGTATTATTCTAGTGTGTTGTTTTTAAGAATTTTTATGTAGAAAACTCTTAAATTAATGTGTTTATTATTAATTTTGATATTCATTTATGTTCAATGCATGTTTTTTTCAGACTAAATGCATTTTATACTGTTGAGGTTTAAAATCAGTTTTGAAATGATTCACAAGATTTCGATTTTTCTTATTAGACCTCAACATTTGACATTAAATCAATTTTCATATTTTTTCAGACTTGTGAGAAAGTAGGAAAGTGGTCATTCAGTAATGTGACAAAGTGATGCAAAATCGACCCCTATGATATAGGTTGTTAATTTAGTCATAGCTTCGACGCTGCGATAGTGTGTATCTTGATAAGTTACTTCATAAACATTTGAACGTATCCACAATTATTTTAAAGAAAAACTAACGAAAAGTTCAAAAAAACTTCATTTTTAATGAAAAACCCGTTTTAAAGGTATAATGAATAGTGCAAGGGAAATGTATAAATGTGATTTTTTGTTAAAAGTGAACATTACCGGGAGTGTTTTGTTAAAACTCCCTTATTTTAAATCAACTGACATGATTTTAACTCCTCACAAACCTCTTATTTTTCAAGTCATCGGACTAACTTAATCAAACAGATAGCTTATAAAATTAAACTTAGCCTTCTTATTTTAAATTACACACATCATCAGTGAGTATTCATGACAAAACCAAACTAGTTTATGGAAGTTGCACGTTGGTAAACAAGGAAACAACAATGTCCATCACAACGTCACTCAAAGTCGGAGGCAAGAAGTGCAGAACTGAAACACCAGTAGGCAGTAGCCGGCGTCGACACAAGGACATACGGCTAA